AAATCTGTAGTATCAACAAAAGAAATTCTATATAAGTTTTACAGCACAATAAGAAAAATATTGTGACTGGATGTCTAGGGGAAGTAAATCTAGGTTTTTGCTTTATCTGTATCTTCTTGTATCCACTCTTTTCAGGGACAGAGGAGACTACTTATTATCTGCACAAAATTCTCCAATTAGAATATTTTCCCTCTGAATACAATGCGCAGACATGCAACGAGCTATGGCAATATCCTGACAACCAGCTGAAAAACATTTTGACAGAGCGGACCTTTGTAAAAGGATAAAATATTTTCCAGTAATCAAAAACTGAAAATAGATAGAACAAGTATATTTGGTTATAGCTAAACCTGACTGTCAAAACACAGTGCTGAAGCTGTTTTCCTTTTCCAAAGCAATTTAAAACACTGCTGCTAAACACAACAAAATCACTTGAGGTGCAAAAGTTCTTCTCAAACCCTGCTCTGGAGGTTTGATATAAGGCTATCATGCCCAACCTCTCCAAGTACTAAATGCAGCTTAAGTACTAGGAATTTTAATGGTACAAATCCACTCCATAATTAACCGACACACACACATACTCACACTAAATGGCAGACTGATGGGGGAAAAACGACGAGAATAAACCTCACCAAAGTGAGGCTCACTTCAGAAGGGCATCTGTGTATTTTTCTCATGAAAACTTTTCATATTCCTATGCCTGCTGGGACTCTCACAATGTGATAAGTTTGTTTAGATATTCTTAAAAACCCAGCAATTTTAAATAATCATGTCACAATTTGCATGACCCAACTTGCAGCTAACACCAACTGGAAAGCTGAATTACCATTATTTACAATTATTTTTGATTCACCTCTATCTTGATATGCAAAGCAGGTCCCATTAACATAACCACAAGTTTAACAGCAGGAAAAATCATCTTAGGACTGTCACAGATTCCTAAAGCTTTGTTCAATCAGCTTCTCAATTGCTGGGAAGCTGTTTTCCTATTTAACTTCAGAAGGTTACGTTCCTCTTTCCCAAGAAATTTTTCGGGAAATAGGTAGTCAGCACCAGCTCATGAGTATCTACTTCCCTTCTTTCAAAACAATTTCTCAACGCAGCCATATTGCTTTGAAATCTCTGCCATCATTATTCATACCCCAGGGGCCAAGGGAAAAATACTGCTAAAATATTCTCAGATGCTTCTCGCTGACCCCCATGCTTTCCATTCGCTAATTAATTTGTTCAGCACTTTTTAAGACAGATGAAGATTTATTCCTGTGCCCTTGCTGAATCGTATGGTTAACGAAAAGACTTCACTTTGCATATGACGGATGGGCCCTGCAACCCACTGGTCATTTGCAGACCAGAAACTATGAACAAAAACACTGGGAAACCATATGAAAATAGCAGCACTTTTTGGGTTTTTTTTTTTTTTTTTTTGAGATTTCTTTTAGAGTAAATTTGGGGTGTAATCCATCAAACTGACAAATTGTTGGCTGTCCTTGCTTCTCTTCAACTTTCTCCAGCAAAGCTCTTTGCTAACCCATCAAATAACTTGTTTACTTATGTCTCCAGTTATTTTAACACTGACATGTGACTGTCTCTAACTATTCTCCTGCTATTCCACATTTTGCACTGTGCATGGCTGTTTCCACAATTACCGACCGACTCCTTCAGGTTTACAAGAATCTGATTTTTTAAAGCACATTTAGTGCATTTAAAGACTAAAAATAACCCTGAGGATTAAAGGAAACTCCAGACAAGCCAGACTATTATATTTGTTCCAACACTGTTTTGTTATCACAAGCATTGCACATCTACATAAAGCAGGTGCAGGGAAAAGTAAGGGTTGCAATGTTGGTTGAAGGCAGTATAAACAAACCTTTTATCAAATTACCTCCTAGGTCAAATTTCTTCACATAAATTATTTTCTATATTTCCACATCTAAAAATCTGATCACTTAGGTGTTTTAAAAACTATTAAATTCTTTAATGTTACATACTAAGCCAATGATAAATGGCTTATGATTAATGTCACATTAATTAGGCCAATAAAAATGAAGTATTTTTTCCTGGAGGAAAGCAAGATTAGGAATTGTGTTATAGGGCTCAGTAATCTTGCTATCATTTTCTGTTCTTACCATCACATTAGATGGTTTACTACATCAACCTCCCAGGTCATGTCCTTCATATGAACACGAAACTGATGAGGTTTTTTGAACTCGGATTATGTAAAGTGCAGGAGACTTCACAGCTGCCACTTTTATGATACCACTTGACTACTGAATTTTTACCCTTGCTGTTATTCCCAGGGTCCCAGTCCATCAGAGCACAGTTCGGCTGTTGCAGAGGGTTCTCCTCCTTTCCCGGTTTCACCAGCCCCCAAGTTGACTCTGATTTTGAAAGAGTCCAGTTCTACTTTGTAATTATGCTCCAGACAATTCAGATGCAATTTTCTGCTTTGGGTGTGACACACACTGTTCACTTTAGCTGTTTGTGCTGCTTATTTACATTACATTGAACGAAAGCCTTTTCTAGTTAATAGTTGAATACAATAGCTTGTTTTTAGTATAAGACAAACAGCATTCTGTTGTTTTTCATGTGAAAATCCTTGCAGAAAGAACAGCCCTTACTCATTGTGATAAAGAACCACCCATTCACGCAAGTATTTCCAAGCATTAGCACATATGCAAAAACACACCAGCCAAAGTAGCACTGACTGTGATCATCACAACCCCAGCACCAGCCCTTGACCCTCTTTGGTCCCCTGCTCCTCCTGCTTCAAATAATAGGATATTTTTCACATGGCTTCCAGAGAGGAGAAAACTCAAGGGCTGAAGACAGCGGAGGAAAAATCCCTTAGCAATTTCCACATTCTGTATGTGTACATAGGCTCATCTCATAGCAAGGGAACTGCTGCTTAATCTGATAAGCAGTGTATTATTTTTCAAGGGCCTGCAACCTATGTTTATGTATCCCTTCCTAAGTCATGGAAGACTTTTCCATGAGCATATGGCACCTAGCAAAATATAACACAACTATATCATAATACAGGCACACAAAAGGAAACAGGGCACTACATGCAGCCTTAACTTGTAGCAGCTTATGACAGCAGCAAGTTGAGTCTTGCGGGCTCCTGGAATACGCTGCTGCACAATATTTTAAAATTCTCTTGTAAAGAAACATCTGCACCTCTGTCCTCTTGGGCTTTCACGTCTTCCCGTGCCGCAAGACGACGCCAAGCATCCATGGTGCATCCTGTCACCTACGGATTTCTAATGCCACCATATTGATCAGTCCGATCTAGACTGTGGACAAAGGAAACTATTGACAGCTCCTAGCACCAGGACTGAGCTACGGGCCTATGTGGAGCCCCAGGCTACAATTTAATGTCACAGCTGGCGCCAGACTGTCAGCCTGCTGCTCTGAGAACCAGGAGACTGAATTTGTGCATCTCCTGCGGGCCCCATTCCTCCCTTCACCACTCCTGGCCTGCATCCATCTCCCCACGTTACAAACCCGCTCAGCCTCTGAATCAACAGAGAAGTAATCCTAGAGCAAAGCCCCCAAACTCCCTGTCCCTTGCTGATGCATCAGCTCTGCCAATGGGGAGACAATGTCCAAGCTGGGCAGGGGGGAGCAGAGGCAGGACCCCAATCCTCCAGAGCATCGCTCAGCTGAGACGTGAAACTACCGACCTTGAGTTTAAGTGTCTCAAGGCAAGACACTTTCAGGAAACTGCTACGTCCTGAAAATTACAAGGAGATGTGTAGGCCTTCCAATCCAAGCGAAGAAAAGCATCACGTAACACTTGCATATAGGGAATTCACAGCTTGACTAAATTGCTACCAGCTTTCATTAAACCATACCTAGGGTTTCTCTCCTTGTTGAGAGGGGACGAATACTTTTAAGAACTCAGCCCCCGAGTTTCCATCACATAGATATTTGTCAAGCTTATTACTCTGGAAATTTCCTAACTAGGACATGTGAGAACTTCCATGATTCTTCTTACTCAAGTTGTTGCAAATATTCTTTACACACTTACTAAGTACTGTAGGCACCATTGCAATCGCCTCACTACTACTGACCTCACACTGCTGCAGTTTAAAGAAAAAAAATGGTTTAAAAGAACTCATGGAAACATATAATGAAAATACAAACATACAATTCAGACTACAAAAATCAGTATTTTTAGAATACAGAAGCTTTAGAGACTGGCATTCACAGTACTTGTACCTACTGAAACAAATGTATAATTTGTTGACAATCCCAGTACACACCTACCGCCACTGTTTAACATTAATAATGGATCTAAGTGCAAATGAGTTTCGCACTTGACGTTATCTTCATCTTCATGCACGTAAGTACTCACATGTACCTGATGAGCTGTCCTCCCGCCACTTTAAAGTAGGTCTTAAGACAGCTGGAAAACCCAGTTAGGCCACGTTTCCCCCTTTCCCTCCTGCTCAAGATTTCTGAACTGAAAAAATCAGTCCCTCACTTCTCTAATACGATTCTTGCAAACTAGAGGGAAGCATTTGGCTTTCATTCCAGTAGTTATTCCCAAAACACAGCTGTAAAGTATAAAATCAATTAATAATGTTTGGATATAAGACAGCTCACTCAGACACCACACAGGACAGATTTACTGTTCTCAGTATTAAATAAAACATGCAGAAGAAGTCTCCAGAGACTTCTTTAAAAATAAATTTTGACAGAGACAAGTACTGCTTTTATTATCACTGTCTAGGCTTAAAATGGAAATATACTATTAATTTCCAATGACCAGAACCAGAAAAAGGTTTGCCATGAGCATGTCTCATTATCTTCAAGTATGAATTATGAAAAAAACACATAATTTCTCTTCAAGACAATAGTGATACCAGGCAGTGATTTTATGTACTAAAACGTTCCCTTTTAAACTGCTCAGGCTTCTCTGCAAATATATGTTCCCATTAATGCATTCAAAGCAATTCATATTGTGAGCTTGACATTCTCTTAAGTGCTCCACTTACACAAAGAAGGTTCCTCTCGCAAACAGCACAGACATCGGAAGGAGGGTACGGGGAACCTCTCTTCAAAAAAAAGCGAAGCAGCTGGAAAAAAAAGAGGGACAAAATTGAACAAAGGACACGGATAAAATACTTTGATTCAGAGTTAACCGACTTTAAGACCTAGCAGTCAACGAGGAGCTGGCGAAGGGCAGTCCTGAAGCGACCACTTCCCGCGTGAAGCACCCGCCAAAATCCCGGGAGCAGCATCCCTGGCAGCCCGCCCTTCCCGGGACAGGAGGGTGGACAGGAGCAGCGGGCGGCCCCACAGCGCGCTGGGCCGCACCGGGGCAGGCGGCCAAGCTACAGCCAAGGAGGCGGCAAAGAAAACAGGCCCTAACTCGGAAAATGAAGCTGCTCCTGTTGTCCCTAACAATTCCGCTGCATTAGGGTTTGATGTTATTTTTCTTCTTTTTTTTTTTTTTTATTTTAATTTTTATTTAATTATTTTTTTTACGTGGGCGCACATGTCCTCAAGGCCACATAACATAAAACCCTCTTCACTCTGCAACTACAGTTGTCATCCTTCGGTGATTTTTATTTTCTGCTCTTTTCCTACTTAGGATACTTTGCCAGACGATGGCTTTAACTATCATGGATCAGCTGTATTGCAGCTACAACATGAGGTCATTCTTTGAGTACAAATTACCAGAAAACGGGCGCTGAAAAGTATACTAAATCAAGCTGAATTCCCATCCATGTGCTCTGTTTTCCATTGCACTTAAACATCCTGATTTGACTGATTTGATGGTGTAGTTTATCTCACTGGAGTAAATAAAGAGGCACAGAAGCTTCTTGGGCAAAGGGTTTTCAGAGGGCTGCTTGAAGGCCATTCCCATATTCACACTGTCAACTTTTTAAGTGGTCGAATACCACTTGTATTATAATAATAATAGTAATAATAATACTCTCAGCAATGGCTCTCTAATTCAGAAACATCGTATTTGTCAAACAGCAAATCTTTAGGGAAAGGGGACACCAGAGACTTCTGGACAGCATCCCACTACGATGCCTTCAGCTCTCCACACATGGACGTGTCCAAGGGCTCTGTTGGTAGCATTTTCCCACCGTGGTACTTTGCCAAGTCCCGGTTATCACAGGGAATCAGGTACAAGATCCATGTTTTACTGGGCCCTCGCAAGACACAGAGCAATCTGGCGTGTTACTACTGAACTGATGGATGTATTGGAAACATTCACACAGGCCACTCATTTTTCAGGCTTTTTATTTCCACAGCAACTAAGAACCTTCTTCTCTTTAACACTGTTCTGACTCAGGCAGAAAAATCTTCAAGTCAGCTTAAAATTATTTATCAAGAATTCCTCTGAGTTTTCCTGGGGGATATTGCAGTCTGTCAAGGCTCTTCAAAATAGCTTTGGGGGCAGCGGGAGACAAACTGCACTCACATACAACAAAAATGAACAAGGTAAAAAAAAAGGATTATTTTAAGTTAAATTTGAAAGTGCTTCCGACACTAACTGACATGACCTGGAAATTGTAGACCAGAAATAATCACTAGAGGCAAAGACAACTACTGGAAAAATTGCTGTCAGACAAGTAGGAACAATACTTCAATATTAAAAACAAAGAAAACCATAGCAAACAAACAAACAAAACAACCGGAACTTCTCCTGTAACAAATTTCATTCAATATTTTCATTAATGACTTGCATGACCAAACAGGAATCCACTCACACAAGCAGCAAGGCCACCACCCTGCGAGGGGTCACAAGCAGCTTGGAGGAGAAGGTCCAATTCCAAGCGAGACTGGCAAGTCAGAGATCCCAGAGCCAGATGAGTGAAATTCAACAAGGACAAAATCAAAATGCTACAAATCCAAATGGGAGAATGAAAGGGTTAAAGCCAATAAAATTAACAGGCTAAAGAGCAATATAGCAGAAAAGAGGCTTGGGGGCTGTGCTGGATCACAGACTAAGACTCAAACACAATGTTCCTGAGAGGCAAAAATCACTCCGGAAGGCATCAAAACCCCTGAGCACAAGGGGAGAGCACGCAAGGATTTCCCTGTTCAGCACAGCTGAGCCTTCAAATGCTCCGTACACCAGGCTTCCATATTCTGAAGAACACATCCTAAAATATGTTTCTAAAGTTACTGAGACTGACAGCATCAAAAACACAAGCTCATCTTGTTAACACTTACAGTTACATATATTTGAATTTTCTAAGACATGTTTATAGTAAATGAAAAAACAGAAATGGTCTTTATGCATAAACACATTTTTGCCACATATTACAAGTGACAAAATATGTGAACTGATTCCTCTCCATCTCCCCGTCTCAAATAGGAAACTTCTTTCTAACTCCAGCTTCTTCTCATTTCTCTTGTAGTACTAACACAGAATACTTGGATTAGAACTGATCAGTGCATCTACAAAAGTTAGAGACACTATTACAGACACTAATACTGGTGTCTGGATAAAATCCACTGCTTTTCCACATTTGGCAATTAATTTCTATTCAGTAGTGATTTTAAACCATGTTTAAAACCACATAAATTTTCTTTTTTCTTTTTATAAAGCAACTGCTTATATTCCGACATTAGTTTATGTGTATGCTCTGTTCTGTGTGCACCTATTCATGTAATTTTAGCCCTGATTTTATTTCCTACCTTTCATATGAAACAGCAATATTATTCCAACTCATATGTAGCCAAAAGCTGATGTCCCTACATCAGTACAATGACATTCAGACCATCTATCAGAGCTGAAGCATTAACAGCATACACCAAAGCATGACACCATCCTTCAGCCATTTAAAAAAAACAGACTTTCAGTAATTCCTGTTTAGATTTTAACCTCCCACATTTTTTGCCAACTTTCCTGTCTGTTAGAGATTTGATAGTAACTTATTACATACACAGGTTAGCTTCCTATGAACTGTACGAGAGGAAAAAAGTGGCAAATAATAGCCCTTAATAGCCAAAACCTGCAGACAGACTGTATTCTCTCTTTCCTTTATAGATGTGTGTATTTAATAGTTCAGAGATCTAAAAGCTCCAATAACACAGACAAAAGTTTGAAAACTCAAAGCTCTTGATGTATCACCATTGCTTATATTTCCATTTGCATTGGTATATGTATATGTATTTCCATTTCTTGATGGAAATATTTGTTGAAGGACAGGAGACAACACACACACAAATGCTCTATTACATCTCCAGGACTATTTTAAGTTACATGTGGATCAACAATTCTGGGTCTAAGATGCACTGACTTGCAGGAGCAGAGACGTGCAGGCCCAGCACGTGCAGTGCTCTACACAACAGCACCTGCTGTGAAGCTCAGCTCGCGCAGCATCAATCTCTCCACAAAGCAAAGGTGGGAAGAACAGGCTGTGCCTGGCTAGAACTCAAATTCCAGCAGCAGGGAAGTGCTATGGAGCACTGCTAGGAGCAGGGCAGACTTGCACAGGCAGCAGCACCTCTGAGCTGAGCCCTGCAGCTTGTACGAAGGGGGCACTATCACACAAAACAGCACCCCGCACATTGCCTCCCAAATTGCATCTCCAAGGGATCCCTCTGCAGCTTTCCAATTAAAATACTTGAAATATTTTTTTTTTCCTCCTTTAAGAAACATTGCCTTGTGGAATGCAACTCGCTGTTGTTATTTTATAAGTTAGTTGATCCAGAAAGAAAGCAAACCACAGGAGCAAAAGCTTGAAGAAACATGTTGTACAATAACTGCACGCTTAAACTTAAAAAATCACCTCCAAAGTTTTCAACATATATTTTTTTTAATGCTTCCAGTTCCTCAGTTTTGGGAGACAGCAAAATGTTGAGGGGGGGGAGAAGAATGAGTTTATCAGTTGCTCAGACCAGGAACAAATCTTCATCAGACATCTTTCTGTGCAATAAATAGCATAACATTTTTGGAATACAAGATACAAAATAACATCTCTGTGTGCTCTGTGCTTTAATATATTTTGCAGCTTGTTTCTTTTTTTAAACTATGTAAGTGGGAAAAAAAAATTCTAACCATGTCTGCCCCTCTGTCACTAAAAGCCTCACTGTGCTGACATAGCCCTCAGACTTCTGATTCTCTTGCACTCCCTTCTCACATATGGCATCACATATAGAGGCTAGCATTGCTATAGGATGGGTTTGCAAGTGCACACCTATAACGTATATATACACAGAAACACACTATAATCCTATGTATTACATTTTTTATATATGGGGTAAAACTGACTCATCACACACTGGGTGTGTGTGTGACTCGTTGCAAACAAAACCAAAACAAGCCTCAAACACCAACAGAAGACGGCAGATTTTCATTCAATTTAACTCAAATTACGAGTCTCGTTATCACAGGAAGCGGTAGGTGCCAGAAGAAGATAAAACCACGCGAAGCTGCTCTCTGCAGTGACGCCACGGCTCACGGCCCGGGCTGCAGATAAGAGCCAACAGCTACAGACCTGTCCTGCATCCGCCGGCGAGCCCTCGCGGGGCTCCCTCACAGGCAGCACTGCTGGGCTAGACGCAGCTTTCACCTGACCAGACCTACAGTTATCTAACCATAACACCTGAATTCCGGCTGAAAGACAACACGCGTTTTCTTCAGGGCAAAAATATTTAATAGCTACAGCCTTCCCCTGCTCTCACCTCTTGTTTTTTTTTTCCACGCTCCCAAATCTACCCCTAGTCCCCCCTTTAAAGCCAAGGAGCGAAGCGAGGAGCAGAGATGTGCAAGGAACGCGCTGTGCGCCTGTCCCTCCTCCCTCCCTCCCTGGCACGCAAGGTTGAAGGAATGCAGTGAACTTGTGATTCTAAATTAATCCCAGCCGGGAAGGCGCTCCGTCCCAGCCGCTTGCAGCTCTTCCTCTTGCAAACAACCCCTCCCAGCAGCCTGTCCTCGTCAGGAAGGCCAGGCTAAAGCAGCAACCGCTCCTTCCCGGCGGCAGGAACGGCCGCGTGGGCAAGGCTGGATCCTTGGCGATGCTCCGGCCCCAGCATCCTGCTAGGGATGCCAGGGGGCCAGGGTAATTGCGCGGTCTCCTTGTCCAGGCTCAGCCTAGGCCTCTGCTTTCCTAGTGACCTCTGTTGTCACTGCCACACACCTTTGCTCATCTGCTGGGGCTCGCACAACTTCCCCCTCGCCAGTTATCCTTCATTTCTAACATCTATAATAATAAACATCAATTGATAAATACATAATGAAAAATAATTAACACAAACAGGCCACCGGAGCACACCTCAAAACAGCATCTGATTCTACCAGTTTCCCAGCGTTGGCATCTTAAGTTTGACCACTCGGAAGATATTCTCCTTTCGCAGACTTTCCAAGCTGCACAGATTCAAAAACCTAGAATTTAAGCAAAACATCCTCCATCTCCATTTCCATTCCCTCTGGGGACGTGCAGGCACAGGAGAGCCTGGAGCTCAGCTGACAACAAGACACTGCGCTTACTCCTGAAAAAGAATTGCCATTCATAAAAGCAAAGCTGAGTTTTCTGCAATCCTGTGTATCTGGGAAATCATTTGCAACTTCTGCAAGTTGCAGATTTAGTTGAAAATTCAATAGTTACTTATATACATTAAAAAAAAAAAGGCAAACAAAATAATTAAGATATTGCTATTAAGGGTCAATCAGTGAATAGATTAGGACAGATTGCAGAAATTCATCTAAAATTATATACAAGAGCCATAAGACTAGAGACCAACATGTGAAAAAAGTGTATGAGTGAAGATGAACAAGAAACGTGTCTCCTGTGTTACTACAATTCTAAAACCATACGGCAACATTCACTGTGTACATTGTGTTGTGTATATAGATGTATGCTATGTTATACACACATAATGCCTCATGCTGACGGGATCTGTAACCGTCTAGTAGACTCAGACCTTTCTCTTTCATCAAATGGAGCAGAGGTAGGTTGTGGTCTTGCATTATACATAAGCAGGAGCACAATTAGACTGAAAAGCAAGCTGATCTTCTCTGATCTCAAGTGAAAAGTGTGAGCTCTGATCTTGGCAGGTGACAGCTTCGTGCATCACGACTTACTAGTTGGCTTCCTTGAACCTGCAAAGATCACAACACCCAGCTGTGGCTGATCTTATGCAATACGCTAATGTTTCAAAAAGGAAGAATATCAAATAAGAGAACAAAGCAGTTGCATTGCTCCTCTGCTTGGCACAGAGAAACTGATTCAGTTCTTGCTTTCATAGTTCAACAAGGATGCTGAAAAAATATGGAGAAAAAAACAATTCAAATGTCTATAGAACTAGGAGAATAAGAGAAGGTATGATGCTGCTATGTGCACAGCATGGGAAGGAACCTGATCTTTAATCTAGCAAAGGAATGACTCAATGACTGGAAACTACACATAAACAAAATCAGATAAGAAATGAGGCCTCTTTTGTTTTCAGAGTTTGATTCTCTTAAGAATTGCTCATTTCCAAATTCACAAAGTGTTTTTATTGAAACTGGATGTTTTCCAAACAAATGCTCTATTTCAGCTCTGCCTCAGATGTCAAATCAGAAAACCCAGTGGTCAAGGCAGTTATAACAAACATGATGCCAGAACACTTGACAAGGGAATCTGGCATTTTCGCTTTACAGAAGAACCCGAGGCAGAGTCAAAGGCAGCACAGTGATGAGGTTCACAGGGCCCAGGTACAATTATGCCGCTCTATGGTCCCTTCTGGCTTTAAAAACATGCGTCAGTCCATGAACTTACTTTTCCTTCTGTTTCACACATCCCACTTCTGTTCAGTATCATGAAGATTTAACAGCAAATTCTCTTCTCAAACCTGCAAAAAAAAGAAAAACAATTACCTGCAGAAATCTGTTGCTACTGAAATTTAAGCAGCACAGCGCAATATCCTTCAATATCAGTACACACACCGAACCAGAGAAACTCAGCAGATGAGGGTTGACAATATATTGCTAACCAGTGCCACAGAATGTTAATACATTAATATCAATCACAGAAAACACCACATTTCGTAATCAAGGTATCTTTGTAATCATACACAGTATTAAGTAATACTACATAGTACATTTTAAAGGTAAAAACTAGGGAAAACTCCAACAGTACAGTGTATGTATTTTATCTACCAATAGCTCTCCACACATACAGAAGCTATAGAACTTAATGTAAAATGAAGTTTTACAAAATTTCAATTTCCATGGCTGCCCCGGCAGCTGAAGTCTCAGTCACTGGTACAAGGCAGTGACGGCTGTATAGACCCGCTTCCCCCCCACCCCCCAACAAAGAGAAGACCAAAATTATCATCATCTAGACCTTCTTTTCATCCAGTTTTAGTTTCTGTATAAGAATGTAATTCTTTCAAGTCGCATGTGCAATGAGAAGAGGATAGACTCCATGATCACCCACTAATATTTAACAGGCATATTTTGCTATTAAGAACATGATTCAGTTTTGTTGCAACTGTTCTCAAGTTCTACAGCACATTACTTACTCTCCCTGCAGCATATTAACTCCTGGCAATTCTCTGCACTGTTTCTCAACATAAAAGAAGGTAAAAAAAAATACACCATGTACCTTCTGTTTCTTTTCTATAGAAAGATAACAACAGTGGGTAGCATCTCAGCATTCGGACACACAGTTATTATGGAAGATGATCACTAAGTTGAGGGGATTATGGATCAATGAGAGCCTCTAACATCCTCTTCCCTTTCTCCTCCTCCCCACAGGTCGGTGCGTGCAAACACGGACACACACACGTGCTCCCCAAGCACCATCCCTCCTTTGGGCAGCGCTGGAAACTGTAATTACAGGGGTTATTCCTAGTTTTCTTTGGCAACCTCGGTGGGAAAAGATTGAAGTACAAACATGCACAACACCAACAACAGAAACCCTTTGTACAGCTACCAGCTAAACCCCAGGAAAATTTCTATGGAGAGGAGAAAACTACAAAATAAAAAATAATGAACAGAATTTTGTCCACTTTCTACTGTCATTTCACAAAGAGTTTTCCATACAGCTGCTGACTCCCATGTTAGGGAGCTCTTAAACATACCCCTGTGAAAGAACAAGCATCACCGAGACAAAATCTGCCCCCTCCGCTCCAGGCTTCACTACCCCAGATGAAAGAAACCACGGGACTTTAGTCTGTCAACAGGAAAGATTAGTACAGATAAACCAGGGACTTCAAGCACTTTCCTACAAAATATAACTTTAAGGTCAACAGTAGCCACTTAACCACACTGACCATCCCCTTCCGCTTTCCTCCCTTCAGCCCTTTTCAAGAGCAGGTCAAGGAGAAACAAGGAGCCTCCCAGTAAGATGCAGGCAGAATTTGAGAAATTTCATCTCATCAGTATTAAAAAAGTTATATGCTTCATTAAAAAAAGGAGAATACAACAAAATTTTAAGTTAATGCTGTGGAACATCTTGTACCTAAATAACATATGTTATTATCCATTTTTTAAAACAGACAATAGTTAGCTTTATTGGAGCACGTTGCTTTGACTAAAGATTGCCTGCTACTGTGATTATGCTTTACCAGGAGGTTTAACTGCCACCCATAAAGCTTGTTCACTAATATTAATAAGAAAAAGACTGAGCCTCCAGGAACACAGCTCGGGAAACACCTTGGAACTACTCATGAAACAAACTCAGTTTGAAATTAATGTTTGATAGAGAGATCTGCTAAGAGCCCAAGAGCTTGAATGCAAAGATGTGAAGCAAAATAAGAAAAATGAAAAGGGAAAAAAAAAAAAAAAAAAAGCAGCCAACTCTCCTGGGAAACAATTCCAGCCAATGAACAAGGATTGCACGTGTGTCTGCTGTGCTACAACTTGGTGACACTGTCACTGGTGAAACTAGGTTAATTGCATGGACATCATGCCATCGTTGATGGAAAATGTGACACAGCCAAACTGCAGGCGCCAGAAGCAGCAGGGAAAAATCTATTCCTTTACTTTCCACCATCAAGTTAGGTTAACTGCTATGAAACTGCTTTCATTTCCTCACTCCAGCAACCCTAACTTGCTGCCAGTTCCATGCCCCACTATGCAGGGCTTAGGATCAAAATTAGTCTCTTGAGATCAAAAACCTCAAAAATACTTTTTGTGGTATAGAAGAGATGGACATAAAACTGCATTGTGGTTTAGTCCATGGAGGTGATCCACCTGAAAGTTAATCTACCTGTGCCTACCCCTGGGGAGAAGAGAAATAATAAAACTACAAGTCCATTAAAGAGCCATCCCACAGGAAAAGCTGCTGCTGCTGCTGCAAAGGGGCAGGCCCTGGTACTCTGGCACGTGCTGAGTGTAGCCACTGCTTTCGGGCACGCCAACCAACACCAGGGACCAGCCGGAAAAGCCATCTCACCCCTTGAGTGCAATCTCCTTCCTGGAAAGGGTTCGTTTCCTTCCTGGAAAAGGGCTCTCTGCCAGCGCTCGGAGCTGCCCCGGCAGACACTGAACCTGCTGCAGTGTCGCACGCGCGGCCCGAGCGCCAGCCACCACGTCAGGGCTGCTCTGGCGGCCCGCGCGCCGCTCCGCAGGCCGGCCGCGAGGCAGCACGAAAACCACCCTGACCTGCAGCACGGCGGCCCTTCCTCTTCGCTGCTCAGCAGAGAGCTGATCACACGCTGAACATAAGGGAAAGCACGAGGGAAGTTATCCTAAGCCACCAACTGCGGCCCTCTAAGGGGGGGGACTCCAAGAGGAGCAAGGAAAAATACAAGTTTCCAAGGTGGCATTTCCTGCCTTACCATGCTTTGTGATAAAATGTGTTGCTTCAGCACTAGCCACGGCACCTGACCTCCGCCTTTGCTGCAAAAGGTTTGTGTCCAGAGATGGCAGGAGGCCCCCAAAATGAGACTGGGGAGGTGCGGGGATCCACAAAGACTCATCCCACGTTCCCCACGTTTTGCTCTAAGGATCATTTGGCGGTCTCCAACATCACGAGCTGGCTCATTGTGACTCCCCCAACAACGTTACGAGAAGGGGTTCAAAATTCAGTCGATTCCAGTGCTCTCACCGCCACCACCATCTCTAACAAGTGCCAGGCAGCCTTAACAACATAGCTCAAAAAAGTATTTATAGTCTTTCTCCATTTAAGCAATTAATGATCCAGTCTTGAGGGTCATCTGATCCCAAGTTAGGTTTAGATTTGTTTACAAAAAAGGGGTTCAATTAAGCCCTTTGGAAAAAAGGTGCATCATCAAAAGAGATGCATTAAAAATAACGAGCAAGCAGGACAAAAGCACTTCCTAAAAAGCACAGAAAACTCAACTCATTTCAAACGCAATGTAATATTCTAGGAAGAATTGTATTTTAAGCTTCATATTAGCAATAAACTGAGCCTGTCTCTTTTAGACAGAAAAATGTTTTAAGTTTGCAGTGGAAAATTTTGATTCCAGCTCACTCTAATGAAGAGGGCAAAAGGTTTAAAATATTTCTGACACTTGGGCGATTGCACTACTTCGTTTTTGGAAACAGTCATTTGGGCAGCAGGTGAATAAGTAATTTCCCCAGGTGGTGGCCTTCTGTTCCAGAAAAATTGTGCTCATTTTCATTAGGGCTAAATTCTTTGCCCATTCAACCAGTACTGCGACGCATCATAATTCTGAATCAGGACTCTCCATTTTCCTTTCCTTGGGTGTTAAATTACAGGCCTGCTGTGTAAAGACATTTTTTTTCTCCTTTTTTCCCCCTTCAAGACTGCCTGTGAAGCTCCATTGTGATTGGGAAGGCCGCCTACACAGCCAAGCAAGCGAAGGAAGAGGGGAAACACACACACACACACACACACACACACACTCGCAGAGCTGCAAACACACTGGTGTGGGCGTGCAAAAGCAGGAGGGAAGAGCCAGCTTCTCCTGAAAAGGGCCCTTCTCCTACAGCACCCTTGAAAGGACCAAAATGCATTACTCGAGGAGAATCCAAAGGGTTATTTTGCACTTGGAAGCAGATGCCAATGCAGGGTCACAGCAGCCACCCGGAGAGCCCTTGCAGTTTCTCTCGCCCATCTCGGGAGCCTCCTGGCTGAGCAAGGACGAGCGTCTCCCCAGCGTCCCGCAGCACTCTCGAAGCTGCTCCCGCAGAGCGGCAACTCACCCATTCACAGCTTTAGACATCTCCTGTAATTAATAACATTAGTAAGCTTTGAAATTTTGTCTAAAGCCTTCTTAAAAAGAAGAAAAAAAAAAAGAGAGAGAGGAGGAAAGAACATTCCATGCAGCTCCTGCCAAATATCTTATTTCTAGAAGCTAGGAAGCCGCAGCATTCATTCGCTGTGGAATTTAATAGAGCTCAAAACTCGCCTGAACAGCAGGCTATAAAAAGGTATTAGAGGCTTCTCAAAGACATACATTTAAAAAATAATTTTCTCCTCTAGCCTACACAGCCTCCAGCCTATTCATCTCCCAAGGAAAGCAGGGGCCTTTCAAGGCTCCATGAAGAACATCCTCCTCAGTCTTCTCTGGGAAGACAACAGCTATGCGGATCAGACTTTGTAAACAGCAAGCTACAAAAGCCCTTTCGTGCCATCATAAAGCTATGGATATGTTTTAATGGGTCTGTCTTTTCCTCCATAAGAAAAAAAGACAAAAGGCTTTTGACGCAAGTGCGTTAGCTGATTATTACTTTAATCACTAGCGCAGGAACAAAGGCAACCAGGACAAGTCTCACCCATGGATCTCAAGAGGAGGAGACCAAAGGGAGGCGAGAACCCTGGTGCTCCCAGGCCTCTGGACACCAACTCGCAGTGCTGACCGGCTGGGCCCGCGGGAGCGGCTGCCCGGGCTCCTGGGTGCTGAGCACAGAGCCCCAC